TTGAAATTGTAAAAATAAACAATAAATTTCCATATCTATTTTGCTCCTCTAATTGTATAGTGAGAAAATATCCCTTTTATTAGAGAAACTTCACAATTTCTACAATATTTTTCTATATTATTTAACACAATAATAACTGAGTTGGAATAAACAATTTAAGATTGAGTACACATGTGAATAAAAATTATGAAAAAGAAATTTTTTCACTCCAGTGAAAGATCAATTTTTATTTACAAAAAAATATATAATAATTACTTTATATTTTTGATGTGATTGCTCCATTATTATGAACATAAACATTTTTCTATTATTATGTGCGTCATTCCCATAATATCATAGGAACCGTTCCTATAATATTATAGGAACTATTCCTATAATATTATAGGAACCATTCCTATAATATTATAGGAACTATCCCCATAATATATTGAAGCTATTCCATTATTGTATAGGAATGTTTCCAATAAATTAGGGGTATGGTTCTCATAATGAGCATAGGATTGATACCTATGATCATTTTATTACAGGAACCATTCCCATAATTTTTGGAGATGTTCCTATAAATTTCTCTCCGTGTGATGTTTTCAAAGTAAAATTTTTGGCGGGTTATAAATAAAAAATACATAATGAGTGTAATAAGCCAACGTATGCACAAGTACAAAAAAAGTAAATAATAGAAAAGAAAATTTACACCAGAATGATAAAAAAATATAACGTAGTTAATTAGTGGATTTTTCTGAGTGCTTAAAACTTGAGATTCTCGCTTATTTAACACAGAGCACATTGTAATAAGCAAAGAACAACTCGCTGCCCTGAGTTTTCTGAACCGGAGAAAACTGTTGAATGGCGACCTTATTTGAATAATAGCTACGAATTTAGTAAGCTTTTCGAGTCTACTGCCATTTCCAGTAAATACATCAACCTAACAGAGACCAACAACGTAACAGAAGAATTACCGTCACGTTAAGCTTAACCCTTTAAGGCATACATATGGGCTATGAGATTTTTTCTCACGCAACAACATTTAACATAACGAATGTCGCTGCAGTGCAAGTGAGATACTAAAAAACACCCATGTCCTGACGGGTTGAGTAAAACTTGTTTTCCTATTTATTAAAAGTGATGCACAGTTTTACACCATTTACGTAACTTAGAAAAAAACCGGTATCTATAATTATGCTTGTAACTAATAAGTTACACGTGAGAATTCATGATTGTACCCTGATTAAAGAAATACATTAAAACTGTCTGAAAGGAGTAAAATAACATTTTTTAACTTCCCGCTAAAAATCGAAGATTTTCAAAAATCGGGAAGTTATTGTTTTCACCCCGTTTTACAAAAATCGAGTTTTCATCAGATCTCGACGTTTGAAGGTCACAGGAAGCTTCCCTGACTATCCCCGCGAGGTTGTCACTATGTCTGTATGTGTGTGTGTGTGTGTGTGTGTGTGTGTGTGTGTGTGTGTGTGTGTGTGTGTGTGTGTGTGTGTGTGTGTGTGTGTGTGTGTGTGTGTGTGTGTGTGTGTGTGTGTGTGTATGTGTTTTCACCGTTCGATTTCAAACACTAATCAGCTCTTAACCTCCAGAAACCACGTCGATCGCCGCTGGTCCGCTCAAAATTGGTTGATTCGTTCTTGCGTTATCGTTGTCGGAGAATGAATTTTCTTAATTTCTCAAAATTTTTCGGTCTGATCGATTTGTGTTTAAAAGTAAATCATAGGATTCGAAAAAGTTGGTAAATCATAGGATTCGATACCAACTGCGTGAAAATCGGTTTATTCATTTAAAAGTAACTGCAGTTTGAAAATATAAAGAATATAAGTATTTAAGAGGGATGTGGATCAATGGAAAGAATGCTACTGCATCTTAGGTCGCAACGTTTCGCTGTATTTCCTCAGCTTGATCAGGCTCTGTACAAGACGTAAATATACATAATTATACACTATTCGAAAAATTATGCATATCAGTTATACAATAAAAGTCAACCACAATACTATAATTTTTCGAATAGTGTATAATTATGTATATTTATGTCTTGTACAGAGCCTGATCAAGCTGAGGAAATACAGCGAAACGTTGCGACCTAAGATGCAGTAGCATTCTTTCCATTGATCCACATCCCTCTTAAATACTTATATCTTATATTTAATTTTGGATCTTAACAGTTAAAATAATATAAAGAATAGTATTTTATTGAACTTCTATCAAGGTTTTAAGCTCGAAGACCTCAAAAGCATAGAACAGCTAACTTTTTGAGCTTGAAGAGCTTTAAAACGTCATCAGTGCCATTTTAAGTGCTTAGGTATAGAATTAGCGAGAAATTGCAGGGCTGGCCTTTAGGGTCAACCCTTTACTTAATTTTTTTTTCCCGTGTAGAAACAATTCTTACACGGAGAGAAAAATGTGGAAATCATTCCTATAATTTTAATGAAATATTTTCCTATGCCATTTTAGGAGCGATTACTTAAATTATGGGGAGACTTCCGGTTGTGACGTGGTACAGTGTGCGTGTGTCTGTTATGCAGCGAATCCAAATATACTGATAACAGCTATCACAAGCGTAGGTAAAAAATTATAGCGTGGTGTAAAGGTGACTTATCGGGTGTGAAACCAAGGGTGATAAAAGAAACGAAAGGGGAGTGGAACAGAACAAAGTTAAAAAGGTTGAGAATAAGTAGTGAAAATTGAGGTTAGATTCTAAGATGGACAAGAAGCGGGAGGGGGATGAAGGTGGCCCGAGTACTACGGGATCCCAATCAAGTAAGGTGTTGGTAACTGAGAATACTGCGGATGAAAGTGTGAGCAAAGAAACAGAGAGGGAGCCACAGAAGACATCTGATGAGAACGATATGATATTGGACGAGATAGATGAGAGCGAGAGGAGTGAAAGCGCAGCAGGTAGTGAGACAACAGAGGGCGCTGATGACAATAGTCAGGCAAAATCAAAAGGCAGACTACCGATGGCGCTAACATGGAGCAGGCATAGAGCGAATAGTTTAGGTGAAATAGGAGACATTAGAAACTGGGCGCGAAACGATCAACCCAAAAGAAAAGGGACAGGTGTAGATGACAGAGAAAGCAAAGTTAGGCTTGTCACGAGCAGAACAGAGAAGAAAAGAGAAAGCTTAGAGAATGTAATGGAAATGGGATTCAAAAGAATCATGGATAGGTTTGACGAGGAGAAGAGTGAGAGGAAGAAACATTACAAAGAGATAAAAACAGAATTCAGTAAGCTAGAGAAAAGAAATAAAGAACTGGAAGAAAAGGTTGGTAAGATAGATGTAGAGATGAAAGCTAGTTGCAATGCCAGCAATATCAAATAGAAACAGATGGAAGATAAAATAGAAAATGGAGGGAAGAAATTTGATAAAAAGCTGAAAGAATTAAAACAGGAAATGGATAGGATAAAAGAAGATATTAAGAAAAAGGAAGAAGAAGGAAACCAGGCTCGGGCAATGTCAAAGGGTCACCCTGGGGAAAAGGTTAGACTAGGAGCGATATAAAGATGGAAAGAAAACATTGAGAGACAGGAAAGAAAAAATAACCTGGTTATTTTTGGCTGGGACCCTAGAGTTAAGATTGAGAAGAAAGAGGTGGTAGAGTTTTTCCAAACGGAGTTAGAAGTAGGAAAAGACGAAGAAGATATTGACGAAGTTAGGGAGCTAGGATCAGAGAAGAAAATAGTATGGGTGAGGATGAAGAACTGGGAAAAGAAAAAAGAGGTCATGGTTAATAAGGCTAAGTTAAAAGGCAAAAACATATTTATAGAGGACGATAGAACGAAAACAGAGCGAGAGGAGCAAAAAAAGCTGCAAAGATGCGCCTGGGCGGCCAAAAAGAAGGAAAAAAGAATGTGAAAGTGAGGTTTGGAAAGGTGTGGATAGAAGGTGTGATGTACAAATGGGATGGAAGAAAACAGAGACTGATATAGAAAGGCGGAAGTAGCGAAGGAGGAAAGGGATGAGAAAGAATGGAGTAATACAAAGTGGAGAAAGTGAGAAAAGGGGGGGGGTGAGGGTATTATTCTGGAATGTGGCGGGACTGAGAAGTAAAGACAAAGAATTCTGGGACTATGTATGCAAATTTGATGTGATAGGGATGACAGAAACGTGGGTGGAAGAAAAAGGTTGGGAGATGACCCGGAAGAAGTTACCTACAGGGTAGATATGGGTTTATATTCCGGCAGTGAAAGTAAAAAGAAAGGGGAGCTAGTGGTGGAATTATTTCAGGTGTGAGAAAAGAATTGATAAGAAATGGGGAGTCCAAAAAGATGGAGGGAGCTCTGTGTAGAAAAATCCGTGTGAGAAATAAAGAGTGGGATATAATTACTATTTACAATAAAGGAGGAAAGAGAGACTGGCTGGAGAAGTTAGATAATTGGATTGAAGAAGAAAAAGAGAAGGAGATGCTAATTGGACGGGATTGGAATACGAGGATAGGAAGGGAAGGGAGTGTGAGAGAGTTAAATAAAGGAGAAGGGAGGTGGTCGGAAGATCTTGTAGTGAATGGTGAAGGAAAAGCAATGTTGAGTTTAGTCGAAAAGAGAGGCTGGATGGTGTTAAACGGAAATAAAGGAGGTGATAAGAGTGGATGCTGGACATTTTTTAGAGGGGATAGTAAATCAGTGGTAGACTACGGGGTGACCAATGCAAGGTCATGGGATGAAATAAAGGACATTGGGATTGGGTATAGGCTTGATTCGGACCACCAGCCAGTGATTGTGGAAATGGAAGGAGAGAAAAGCTTCAAAAATGAGAGGATGAAAGAGAAGAAGAAAGACAGATGGGTCCAATGCTGGAAAGAAGATAAGGTTGAGCTATTCAGAAAGAAAGAAGAAGAACTGGAATGGAAAGTGGAAATAGGAGAAAAGAAGTGGGACGAATTAAAAAAAGGGATAGAAAGCTGCTGCAGTAAGAAGAAGATAGTATACAAAGAATGGGGAAGCTGGTTTGATGAACAGTGCAGAAGACTGAAGAAAAAACTGAAGAAGACAAGCAGAAAGGAGAAAGATGGCAAGGTGTTAAGTAGATTGAGAAAGAAATACAGAGAACTGAAGAAAAAAAAGAAGGAAAAGTGGGAAGAGAAAATGGAGAAGGAATTGAAAGAAATCAAGAATGAGGGTGAAGCCTGGAAATTCATTAAGAAAGACTGGAAGAAAAAGTCAGACATCAACGAGGATTTCAATCTAGAACAATGGAGAACACACTTTATGAAGTCTTTAGATGGAGCTGAGAGGAAACCGAGAGGACTAGAAAAGGTACTGGATAGATCTGACAATAGGCTTGAGGATGAACCTACGGATGAAGAAATTGATAGATAGGTGAAAAACTTAAAGAAAGGGAAAGCAGAAGGGGGAGATGGGTTGAAGAATGAAGCATGGATGTACGAGTTAGGGAAGATAAGAATGAAACTGAGGGAAGTAATAAAAGAAATATGGAGAGGAGAGTATTCCCCAGAAGATTGGAGAGAAGGGATTATAACTCCAATATTTAAAAAGGGAGAAAAAGACTGTATTGATAACTATAGGGGGATTACTCTGACCAGCACGGCATACAAAATCTATGCTGCCATACTGAACGAGAGGATAATAAAGTCGATAGAAGAAAAGAAGGGGTGGGAAGAGAACCAGGCAGGCTTTAGAAAGGAAAGAGGGTGCATGGATAATGTATTTATATTGAGGCAGCTGATAGGTAAAACAATAAGAGAGAAAGGAAAAGCGGCGTATGTTCTCTTTCTAGACTTGAAAGAAGCTTTCGACAACCTGGACAGGAACATACTAATGAGGGAGATGAAAAACATAGGAATAGAAGGAGGGTTAAGGGAACAAGTGAGAAGAATATATACAGAAACAAGGTGCAGGGTTAGAAGTAATGGAGAGCTATCTGAAGTTTTTTGGACGGAGAAGGGGGTGAGGCAAGGATGTTCCCTCAACCTGACGTTATTTAATATATATGTCGCGGACCTCGAGGACTTCTGCAGGAAGAGACAGGAAGGTGGAATTATCATGGGAGGCAAGAAGATATGGTCTCTAGCATATGCTGACGATACAGCGGTAGTGGCGGATAATAAAAAGGAAAGGAAGGAACTGTTTAAAACATGTGAGAGATATTTTAGAAGGAAAAAGCTTGAAGTGAATGTCGAAAAGACAAAGGTGATGAAATTCAAAAAAGGTGGAGGGAGAGGAAGACAGAAGAAGACTGAATGGCTGTGGGAGGGAAAGAAAGTTGAAGAGGTATAGAGCTTCTGCTACCTGGGCTTCATCTTCACAAGGAATAATAGTGTGAAAGAGCACGTGAAAAATAGAGTAACGAAAGCGAGGCAAGCGATGGGAAAAGTGTGAGGAATTGGAGAAAGGAGATTTGGAGGGAAGCTAAAATTCAGAAAGTTACTATTTGATAGTATAGTGACTAGCATAGCTCTTTAAACTCTTTATGGAGCAGAAATTTGGGGATGGAGTGAAAAGAGGGAGATAGAGAGTCTACAAGAACAGTACGGAAGATGGGTTATCGGTCTAAACAGGTCGGTACCTGGGTATATGATAAGAGAAGAGCTAAAGATGGATAAAATGAGGACTAAAGCAGGAGCAAGAGCATTCAAGTTTGAAGAAAAGGCGAGGCTGGAAGTAAAGAGAGAACTAGTGGCTAGAGGCATGGTGGAACGAGAGAAAGAATCGAGAAGGCGAAGTGAGGGAGAAGATGATAGAGAGAATTATTTGAGAAGATGTGGCTGGTCGTCGGCTGGAATAGCTCTAGAATGGATGAAAGGAAGAAAGATGGAGAAAGAACTGAGAGAGAAAGACAGAGACGTTCAGAGGCAAGAGAGAAGGGCGAATGTAATGGAGTCGCGGTTCAACAGAATGTATAGTAGAGTGGTTGAGGAGGACATTCCAAGCTATTGGAGCAGAGAGGATGGAAGAAAAATAACAGAAAAGAGGACTATAGCCAAGTTAAGATTAGGGAGCGAATGGAGAGGAAATAGATATTGGTTGAAAGAGGAAGAAAAAATATTTAGAGTATGCAAAACAGAGGTGGAATCCTTAGACCACGTGGCTAGGAGATGAAATGGAGTAAAGTGGTGGGAAGGTAGCTTGGAAGAACTGCTAAGTGGAAGTGGGGAAGGGTTAGAGTGGATGGAAAGCTGGATGAAAATTTGCGAACAAAATATAAATGAAGATTAGATAAAAGGGAGAGCATAACAGAAGTCTTGGCACCTATCAGGCGAAAAGAAAGAAGGTGAAGTGAAAGGGTGGAGGGTAAGGGAGGGAGGATAGGCGAGGAAAAGAAAGGGCAGATCGAAAATAATTTGTAATAACATAAATTTAATTTAAAAGTTATATGTAAAGTTATTTGTAAAGCCAGTACCCGGGCTGATTGTCGGGTACACTGAAATGCCGAAAGGCGATCTTTTACCATTATTCAATAAATAATGTTTAAACTACTACTTAAATTATGGGAATTATACCCATAATTTTTGGGAAACGTTACTATAATTATGGGAATGGTTCCTATAATTATAGGAACGATACCTACAATTATAATTGTAATATCGGCATGATTCCCATAATATATAGGAATGGCTCCCATAATATATAGGAATGGTTTTCATAATATTATAGAAATAGTTTCCATAATATTATAGGAACCATTCCTATAATATTATGGAAACCATTCCCATAATATTATAGGAATGATGCCAATAATATTGGAGTAATTTTTTTTTACACAACTGTGATATTTAATTAATTACTTTTCACTAGATTTATTTTTTTTTGATTAAGTGATTCTTTTGTTATAATATATAAATTGATGAAAAAAGTTATCAGTCATAATATTCATTATTATTATCATTATGAAATTAATCAGTTGCAGCAGTTGATATATTTTTATTCTTGAGTGGTATACATGCTTGTAAATTAAAATAAAATTAATTAAACAAAAAAAAGTTAATTAAAAAAAAAATTTCTACTAGAAGAAAAAAAATTTCTTATATAAAATAAAATTTCCAATTGTTTTGAAATTCCAAATTTTCAAATGTTTTCGTGGCTCAGTGTATGTATTGTAAATAAATAAATAATTTGCTTTAAAAATAAAATGAAATTGTGAAAATAAACAATGAATTTCTATATCTATTTTGCTCCTACAATTGTATAGTGAGAAAATATCCTTTTTATTAGAGAAACTTTAAAATTGTTATAATATTTTTCAATATTATTTAACACAATAATAACTGAGCTGGAATAAATAATTCAAGATTAAGTACACACGTGAATAAAAATTATGAAAAAGAAATTTTTTCACTCTAGTGAAAGATCAATTTTTATGTACAAAAAAAAATTTATTAGCAAAGAATACATAATAATTACTTTATATTTTTGAAGTGATTGCTTCATTATTAAGAAAATAAACTTTTTTCTATTATTATGTGCGTCATTCCCATAATATCATAGGAACCATTCCTATAATATTATAAGAACCATTCCCATAATATATTGAAGCTATTCCATTATTGTATAGGAACGTTTGCAATAAAGTATTGGTATGGTTCCTATGATGAGTATAGGATTAATGCCTATAATGATAATTTTATTATAGGATCCATTCCCATAATTGTTGGAAAGATTCCTATAAATTTCTCTCCGTGGACAAGAATTGTTCTGGATCCGTGTCGAAGAGGACATTTACGGCAATAAAAACAATATACATTAAAAAAAATCAAAACAATCATATTCATGTTTTTTATATAGTTATTATCCATAAACTTTTCACTGCGTGGATCAAACGAAATTAGATTAAGAAAACAGTAATCTTTATAAGTGAATTTCTTTTTATATAAATATGAAATTGAAATTCTTTTTAATGTTGTAAGTATTAAGTTGAAGAAATCTAAATCTATTCTTCTTAAAATTTTATAAATGTTTACAATCGAGCGATTATTTGGAATCGAAACTTTTTTCACAATTTCAACCGCTGAGTTATCAAAATATTTCTTGTTACTAATAGTCATAATATTGAATAAACAAAATAAAAAAAAAAAGTAATTTTTGTTGGATCTGGATTTGAAAGCAACGAGGGTGACATTACAGATTCGAGTCTCAGGCTCAAGTCGACAGATAGATAGAGTCAAGATTCAATTAGCTCTAGCTGTCAGCCGCATGATACTCATCGAGTCAATACCTATATTCATAGAGATTCGCGACTTCGATATCTCATTGGAGTGTCTGGACAGTCAAGTGTGAAACTGATCGTACACTTGTTTCATAAATGTCGACTATTATTTATAAGTCATTAATTGACAATAAAAAAAATTTTTGAATTATCTTATTTGTTATAAACTAACTGTTTTCCTTTCATATTAAATAAAATGCAAACGAAATGGATATCAATTCGTCAAAAGTTTAAATCAAAATGGATTCCAAAACCACAACGAATTTAATCTCTTAAGAGAGAAGTAAAGCTTGTAGTATCATTTATAGAACTGGTTGGTCGATAGCAGTTATTTTCAATTTATTTCAAGAGTTCTATAGTGATAGAGGATGGAAAATAAGTGAGATGAAAAATAGCAAGGTAAACTAATAAATAAGAGATGTAAGAATAAGAAAAAAGACTGCAAAGAAATGGTAGGCGAATAAAGAGAAAACACCAATGGTTTACTCTTCACACTGTGATACCTCTTCTCGTCTTCAACTTGCATCCTTCTATCCGAGGTGACAAAAGCTTTTTCGGTAAGAGGGGAGGGTCGGGCATAACGGCCCACCTGGGGAAAAACGGCGCACCTCAAAAATTAGCTAAAAAATTTTTAACTTCCCGCTAAGAAAATTGAAAATTTTCAAAAATCGGGAAGTTATTGGTTTTACCCCGTTTTGCAAAAATTGAGTTTTCACCACGGAAGAAGTTTCAGTGTGGAAGTTACGACAAAATACTAACAACTACTGTGAATCATACCATGCATGGTTAGCTTCTCGCTTGCAGAGACGACCTAAGCCATGTTCAATTGATAGGTAAGAATAAATAAATATATCATTACCAGAGTCTAATCAGAAATCAATAAATACTTAGTTGCAATGAAAAAAAAGTCTGTCTGTCAGCTGTCAGCAATAATTTTCAGTATTACAGTTACATTTGGCATAGAATAGATACTAAAATTAAATATGTTTCCCGCGAATACCTTTAAGTTTTATACTTAGACGCTTAACTCCCATCCGTATGTATATAAGTTTGAAGTTTGTAAGTATTTTATTAATACAGCACGTGCGAAGAACATACTTATTCTCAAGATTGGGTTTTGCTTATCTAGCAATGCTCGAAAATTTAACTTTTAAGAACTAGTTCCGTTTGCTTCTCGATTTTCATTTATTGGAAGAAACCTTTCTATATCTTTGTTGCAATTGTCCAGTAAATGATAACTGAAAAAATCAAGTTTGTCGTTATCAAAAAAAAATTTAAAAATAAGCAGTCAAGTAAGAATTAAACTTATGCTGTATCTATCAAATATTTAAGCAGTTATTATTTAATTATAATTTTTTTTTTAATTTAAGAAACCGCAATAGCAGACACCACCTGTAAAAATGTAATGATAACATAATTTTTGTAGTTTTGCTGCTAGAAAAAATGGCCGAATCAGAAAGAAAGCTAAAATCCATTGAAGCCGGAATTGACCCTAGTCGGAGAAATAAGAAAAACTTATTTTCCAAAAGTCTTATGAGTGAAGCTGCCGAAAAATTTGAGCAGGAAGCCATTACAATGAAATTCTACCTGAAACAAATGAGTATGGAATTGCAAAAACGAAAAAATAATTTTGAGGCACCTAGTGATGATGAATCATCCACAGAGAGCGAGAGTAGTGACCAGGAAAATGAAGGTAACGCTTGTTGATTAATTAAAAATTAATTAATTAATTATAAATTAAAAGTGATTTTCAGTTACAAAGTATTTATCAATATTCGACAAAATCTCTATATGAAATCGCTCTAGTTAAAAATATATTTTGAAATGAATTAAAATGAGGATATTAGAATTCTTATCAATGATTGCAATTTTCTTTTCATGTATATACAGCTTATTTAGAGCGACTGCTTTTTAATAATTTTCAACATGTATTTTTACTGAGGGCGTATAATTTAGGAGCACATTTTAAATATTAACGAAAGATAAAATTAATTTTGCTTTTTAACAGATAAAAATCCGACGATAAAGAGAAAATCATCAGAAAAAATTGAAATCGGTATCCCAAAGACAATAAAAATACTTTCGGATGAAGTCATCGCCAAAACCGGTAATTATCATTACAAAATTGAGAAATGAATACCCTTATTCAGATAAATCATTTATATTATAACTCCAATGTTAAATGAATTTCTAAATCAAATTCAAATTAGATGCGATAGAATAATTTCAAAATGATTCGAACCATTTCAAATTACTATTCTTTATTAGAATAGTTACGCATGTAGAAACGTATGATATAAAACCAATCTCAACAGAAAATGTCATTATAATAATAAAAATGTTTTTTGCAGTAAAGCCTAATGCAGAAAATGGATTAGATGTGGCAATCCAAGACGAAACTAAAAAATTTAAAATGATTTCTATTCCACGGAATAAACTTATTATTTGCAAGCAAGAGAAACAAAAATTGACATAGAAAAAATTATAAAAAATGTTAAGACAAACATTTTGTTACTAGGAAACTTAACTTTTACTGGCTGACTAAACCACATTGTTTCTACTAATGACAACGATGTCATTCCAAATATTATTAGACTTCCAGATTTTTTTATATATTAACTTGTCTACTGAGTTTCTTTCAAATTACTTCAATAAATAAAAAGATTATGCATGATATATTTTTATAATTAAATAAGTGTTATTGCTAATGTATCAATTGTTATAAATCGATAAAGTTATTAATAAAATTAGAGTGGTTCACGAGAAACTATTCATTTTTATCGCTCTCTAAACTTACTTTTTAATATAGAGACAAACAAATTTTTTTTGAGATTAATTCTTCAGTCTCCAGGTAAACAAAATTATATATTATTTAACTTAATTAAGCTGTTATAAACTATATTATTAATGATCAACACTTTGATAATTAATACCGCAGTATTTGGAGTGCTTATTTTGTTTTTCTTATTACTAGTCGTAATTATTAGCAATAATGTAACCCACTCTAGTATTAAAATCTACATTGTTATTATTTAGATATTTTTTAACAGATATTATTTTATTGATTAACATTATATCGTATTTTTAATTACCATGTATTTATTAAAAATACTAAAAACATATTAATTAAAAATTAACATTAAAATAATTTTAATTTGAATAATTATTAAAATTTTTTTATTTTTTTTCTTTGAAAAAGTAGTCTAACATTAGTTATATTATATTAAAAGTGATAAAACTTTTAAACTGTATTTTGTAAAAAAAAAAAAAACTAATATTAAAACCCTGATTTTAAACACCTAATATTAAAATACTGATTTTACCGCACTTATTACTAAAAAAAGAAGCAAAATGCATATTAAAAAAAATTGTACAAGAACCCTCCATTCTTGAAGAAATGGCAGTAGTAAAAGTACCAAGCAGATTGTTGAACTTCTTCATATAAATCTGAAAAAAATAAAATGAAAAATCAACAAATAAAATCTTTCGTATTATATAATAAATGAATCACATACCATTTAGATCCAATAGCTAAACATTTTTTAAGGATAATCAAAAACAAAGGCCGCTGAGCCTGTTCTAAAGCTTTGAACTCTTCAGTGTTTTTAAATTTGTCAAAATTTGCAATCACGTAATCGATAGCAATTTCCTTCAACTGCTTAGCATAGTAACGATCCGCCAAAATCATAATCTTTATAGCATTTCCAACATTCAAAGTTTTAGATAGCGAATATTCGCACATTTCTTTAAGCGATTGAAGCTGGTACTTGTCAGCTGCTTCCAGTAACTTTTCAGCATTACTGTCCAAGTCATCAACATGGTCCGTGTAAATGAAGTCCAGGACTTTTTTGAAGATTTTAGAATCAACGTCTGGGATAGTCACTTTTCTTTCTTTGTTCTCAATCGTAAAATGCGTAAACATAGCTTCAAACACAGTGCTTCTTGCAGCTAGTACAAACTGATGAGCATTAAATGTTTCTTCACCGACAGTAATAATGACATCGCATCTTTTTTTTTTAATAAAAAGATCATGGATGTCATCACTGAACTTTCTTTTTGAACTTTTCAGCTGCTTGAGGAGAATATTGTCCACCAGGTACTCATCGTAGACAACCAAGTCAATCCCCACGATCAGAGTGTCGTTTTGAATAAATTCATCTTTTTTTTGCAGTACTTCGTCAATTTTAATGAAATTAGCGAACCCATGGCCTCTCCATTGTAAGAATAGGTTATGACACCATGTATCTAATGATTTATTATAAACTTTATTACCACTTACGATTTTTTCTTTTTTATTGTTTAAAATGAACAACAAATACTTAGTTTGGACTTTCCGGGATCCATTGTTTGGCATCAAGTAAATTGACAACCATGATTCAACGTCTCTTTTTATCTTCAGTTCTAAAAACCATGAATCGTCAAATTTTGCACCCGTTGAAAACCTTCGTGAGTGTATTATTTGATCTGATCCCTTTGATGACCTTTCAGATGTCAAAAATGAAGTTATCTCATTTATTTGAAAGGTATAAGAAATTGCGTGTTGAACAGAGGATACGATCCTCTCGCTTCTTGTTCGTAATTAAGACTATTTTTAGTGTCTTTTGACATTTTTTTAATTAAATTAATGAAAAAATGTTAAATTCAATAATTAAATTAAAACTTTTAAGTTGTTGACAGTATTTTAATTATAAATAAATATTGATGAGATTATGCGTGCTCACAACAGTTTTTTAAGCCAACGCTTTAGTAAGGTTATGTTTTATCCATTACTATATATTTACTCCAATATATCAAAATTGATGATTGATTGAAGTTTGCTTAGTATCGAAATAATGTAGTATCGAAATAATGTAGTATTGAAACATGAATCCTGATTCTTCATTGGTTCGGTAAGGTGTTTTTCGGTAAGGTGTTTAAAAAAAAATTAAAAAATAAAACATTACAATAGATTATTGAAAGTTAGACTTTACGTTAATCTTAAAGCGGACTGGCGGGAAGAAGGAGAACACGAAAAAAAATACGATCGTCAGTTCGTCGATGCGACAAGCGGGTAACGTGAAGACGTCAAGACACAAATAAGTTTGTTTAAGTTTATTTATTACTAATTTAAATCTTGTTCTACAACAATTATCATATTAACTTAATTATTTGGGTCATTTTGACTTCAAATTCCGTCTCCAGACTTACGGTAAGTTGTCTTTAGAATGGCTATCATAATAAAAATAATGATTCGGGTTAAATGTCCACCTTTTTGATTTTTCAAATTGATTGTTTCATTTTTTAACAATCAGTATTGTTTACTATTTTTCTATATATTATATTAATATTTATCATCAAGACTTTGATTCAAGCATTTATTACATTGTCTATAGCGTATTAATCAACGGTTTACACAGAAAAAAAATTTCCTTGGATCAAGTACATAATTTTGAAGAATTTAATCTTCTGAGTTTGCGTAGAAAAATTCTTGAATTAATTAATTTTTCTTGGTTTAAGGAAATTTTACCTGATTCAAGAATTTTTCTTTCGAATCAAGTTAATTTTTATTTTTCAGTGCAGGTATTTAAAAAATGTCCAAAATTTTTCGAACTGGTAAAAAATATTCAGGAGAGCAGCTTGACTTTTATCAAGACTTGGACAATTATGAACGAAAAACGAATTATCTTCTGACTTCATTTGAAACGAAAACTCTATCTGCTGCTCATAAAAGACGTCTCGGTAAGGATAGCCGTCCGAACCTACTTCTATACGAAGCAACATACACCACTGTGTTAAAGGCAGAAAGAAACACACCCCCAAAGATTCTAAAAAGTAAGTACAGCGAAACTACATTTCTTTACTTCAAAAAACTTTGTATCTCCATGGATCTGAAATTTTTTATTTATTTGGTTGTAGTATTGTGATTATTACTAATATAATTTATTTATTTATTGTAGAAAATATTGTCCGGTTAAGCTGATAGTTCGGATGAACTTAGAAGAAAACAAGTTCGAAATTAAAGAATGGAAGCACGAACATAATCATAAAGCTTCAAAGCATACAAAATCCAAGTTATCATGGGAAGAAAAATTTTTAAAAAGGATGAAGGAAGGAACTAAAAAAAATAAAAATAATCAAACGCTAGAAGAAAAAACGATTGATGCTTTTTTGAAAATCCTGCGAGAGAATTTAATTGAATCGCCAGATACGGTGAAATTGAAACTGAAGCTACTAAAAGACTATGGACAAAAGATAACAGAATTAGACGGTAATAAAGATGGCTTGACATTTCCAAGAATTGAATCAGATGATGAAGAAGAAATTTTGTCAGAGCAGGAAGAACTACAACATGAAGAAGAAACAATGTCAGAAAAGGAAGAATTACTAGATGAAGAAAATAGATACGAAAAAGATGAAATATTAGAGAAAAATAATAAAATTAAAAAGGTTAACGAAAAATTAGAAAAAATAAAAGTAAAAGAATCTACAGAAATTCAGGATGATAATGAGGTCACAAAAAAGGTCAAGAAGAACATCCCCATGATTGACAATAAAATAATAAATGGGTCCTTTAAAATTGTATCTCAAAAAAGAACGTAAGAAGAAAAAGCTAATAGTAAAGAAAATAAAAAAATGAAAATTGAAGGAAACGAAAATGATAACGAAGAAGAAATAAACGTACAAGAAAAGCTATCAATAAATAATATGGAAAATAATGATTTGAAACGGAAAATATTGGAAAAATTGATAGGCAAAGAAACAACAAAAAAATGTGATCTGGGGCACATTATAGAGATGAAGGATTTAAACGAAATTGATCAAAAATTATTAGAATACCTGCTAGAAAATGTCACTCTGATGTCACAATTGGAAATATTCATGCAACCAGAAGTCGTAAAGTTTCTTAACAAGAAATTAATTGATGAAGCCATGTAAAAAAGCAAAATAATATTTTACAGTTAAAATATGTAAAAATTAAGAGATTTTAGAAAGTTTAAATACTTTGAAATGATTTTTTTTTTTTTAATTAAAAAGCATGATGAAAATATTTACTTAGACCGTTTAATACATTTATAAGATTTTGATTAAAACTATTTTAAGTAGAAAAATATATTGTTTTTTAAATTATTTAATTAAGAGTTTAATTAATAATCATTTTAATAATATTACAATAAAAATGATAATAATAACAATCATATTAAAAGCCTTTATTGATAATTGTTACATTTTATTGTATAACTTTATTTACTACCACCTGTTAAATAATAAATTGTTTTACATATTTCAACCTAATTGAGTATCAAGTAGATAATAGCAGATTGGTAGCTAGTGAACGTTTCGAGAAGTCAAGAAATCGTGGATGCTGATTTCGTTGTTTAGATCTCACCTAAATTATGAACTTTACACTAATTGTAAACGAACCCGTTTAGAAATAAACGAGTTCATAAAATTTAACTTTTTTTTCAAATGATAAGTGTATATTTTGAGCTGGGGAAG